CAACGTGCAAAATGAAATTTCTACAACTCATACTAATGTCGCACTTTTGCACATTTCATCTATACCCTTTATTAAAATAGCTGTTAGTTATGCAACGTGCAAAATGAAATTTCTACAACTCATACTAATGTCGCACTTTTGCACATTTCATCTATACCCTTTATTAGGAAATAACAATAACAGTACTTTTATGTAACAGTAAAAAAATATAGAGTTGGTTCTAAACCAACTATCTGAATTCAGGCAACATTCATCAAATTCAGAATAGAATATAATTCTTATGATAGGGAAGTTCATTATTTTTATTTATGAGATATTTTGAAGAATGATACAAACATAGGCCTCTACAATAACTGCATGAGCTATATTGGTACTCTGCTATAAAAGAAAAGAACAAAATTACAAACTAAAATGATTATTTAAAAACCCTGCATCCAATGGATTAATGATATACTGGAAACAAAATTGAATGTTTTTGAAAGGAAATTGGACTTAAATATTAAACAGAGAACTTTTATGTCAGAAGAATTCTTGTTTTTTTAACTATGGGTAGTCTTTGGCTTACAACCATTTAGTGATTATTCAAAGTTACAGCGGGACTGAAAAAAGTGACCTGACCATTTTTTACCCTTACAATTGTTGCAGCATTCCCGTGGTCAAAATTTGGATGCTTGACATATGTTCATATTTATGAAGGTTGCAGTGTCCCAGAGTCATGCGACCACCTTTCTTGACTTTTCTTGACAAGCAAATTCAATGGTGAAACCATATTCACCTTACAAATGTGTTACTAATTTAATATTGTAGTGATTTACTTAACAACTGTGACAAGAAGGGTTGTAAAATGGGACAAAACTCATTGAACTGCCTTGCTTAACAACAGAAATTTTGGCTCAATTGTGGTCGTAAGTCAAGAACTATATGTATGTTCCAGTCTCTTCTATGAAGAATGAAATGAAGTGCCTAAAAACAACTCTTTTTTCATCATATTTACGTGCTTAAATTGCAAGGCTGCACACTTCAGTAAAACCAAGTCCCCATTGAATTTAGTATGATTTCTTAGCAAAGTTGCATGGACAAAAACATGAAATAATTGCTGGCTAAATAGGTTTTTAATACAATACTAAGTATGTGAAGGCTGTAGTTACATTATTTTAAGGAATCTTAAGTCCAAGGAATGTCGTATGTTCATAATATTACAAAGTTCATTATAAAATTCACCTAGATGTTTCATTAAGACATTTATTTATGTAAATAATTAATTTGTATTCTGTTGTTAGGTGTCTTGACAGAACGCAATAGTATATATCAAAAAGAAAATAACCTAACAATATCTCCTTGCTAAAAAATATAGTTGAACATTTCCAAAATAATTTCCAATTTCGAAGGCATTTAAAGTAGTGCAGGCCTGAATATTTTACAAGCATAAAATATTTAAAAGCAATGTTGATTATTCTGTCAAAGAAAAGCATTTCAGAGTTTGTAAACCAGTTTAGAGAAGTATTATACCTATTAGTGGCCCTCCTAGAATTTGGTGAAGTTGTGGCATGAGCTGTAGAACACTTTTGGTTAATATTGATGCACTAAAAAAAGAAAAAGATAATCTCTGAGATTACAGGGCAATTGCTTAAAGTTTAATTTGAAATAAATATCTAAAATCAAAACTTTAGAAGACCCCCATTTCTGTAATAGCTTTAAATAACAGTTTTCCCATGTGTCATGCAGGGCAATGTTTCAAAACTGGGATTACTTGGTCTTGGTTGCAAGAATAAAAAATATTTTTGTCTCTCACATAAGATGAATTTCCAAATATATCCATAGTCCATCTTTTATTAATGAATGGATCTGAGAATATGTTAAAGCTAGGTGCTGTCGACTTTACTAACAGCAGCAAATGCCTGAAGGGTCAGTTATGTCAGATAGTTATTGATAGACTTAATAGCAGAAAAAATAAATCTGCATTATTTTTTTCAAAGCTCAGTCATTCACAATTGATATTAGTTTATATTTTTGCCAGTATTAGTTAAGCGAATTGGAGTAAGTGGTTTTACATTTCATATAGCCATGAAATTCCAAGTTTAAACTTTTGAAATCCTACATATTTTATAAAAGCACTTTGAATATTTTGGGAATGAAACTAACATGTTTAATTTGTATTGAATTCATAGTTATTCTAAAACTTTTCATGTGCAATATAATTTTTATATAATATTTCAAGAATTCATGGCAAGTCAAATTTAATATTTACCCTGTTTTAAATATTGCCAAGTAAAATCAAAATGAAGACAAATTGGGCACTCATAGTCCTGCTTAAAGAAGTGATAGCCCTGTTTCTACGCTGTTCACTTTAAAGTAATTTTAAAATAGTGAAGCCCTTCTGTTTCCCCTCCCTCCCCTATATACTTCTTTTCTTTTATAAAGCAGAAACACTGTGTTTTGATGAGACTACTAATTTTCTTCTCCTTTCTGTTTTACAGATTCAGAGACATTCCAGCCAGAATCGACACAAAAAGACATTGACTAAAAAGCTGGTACTTCACAGAATTTTCACAATTCTGTGCTATTTCCATTCAGCACTATGTGCAGGAAACTTACACATCTTAGGAAGCAGGCTCCAATAGTAATTGCTAATCAAGTATAATAGGTGTCAGGCTTCAAAAGGCTTCAATAGTTTTCTGATAAACTATTTCTAAGACTTGCCTAGTCTCTTCTAAAGCCATACCTGTTGCTTGAGAGCTGATGAGTAGCCCTACAGTCATAGGACACTGTTAATATAAGCTATGCTTTGACATTGAACTACTGAAAAGAGTATAGGAAAACATAAAAATGAGACCAACTTGAGTTTTATAGTGCTGACCGTATTTTTGTATCTTTTTCGAAGTAAAAGCTAGTTATTTTCATTTTCTATGTAATAAATTGAATATAAGTGAAAATTATTTTTCAGAATATTGGATTATACTGGTAGTTTTAAATACCATTTATATTTTGTCTGCTTTATACTTTATATATAAACTTATATGAATGCTTGAATTCTATTTGAATAAACATCATTAGAAATTTGAAACAATTGTCCTTTATTTATGGCTATTCTAAGTAATAATGTGATGTTATTGAGCAGTTATTTGGGCCTCCAAACCAAAAATGTTCAGAATACAAGATTTAATGACAGTTTCCATTTAATTTTAAACAAGATGCATGCAAATTTTTGTATTTTTAATTTTTTCTTTTCTGTTCCCCCCCCCTTCCCTTTAATAGTGCATCAACTGGGTTCTGTATCTTCTCCTTACTTACTTTTCTAGCTTCCTTTCTCTAGCAAATCATAAAATCTTCCCCATGTCTTGAAGTACACTGATTCCTCTTTATCCTTTATTTTCAGTGTCAACTTGTTCATCTCTGCACAATCTATTATCTTTTTTATTATATCTAACTTATTTAATTTCCAATTCTGGGCAAATACAATTCTCACTTCTGTAGTTACATGTATAATAAAATAAGTATCCTCTTTCTTAAGTTTCTCTGGGATAATACCTAATAAAATATATATCTAAGTTCTATTTCTTCTTCTAACATTTTCGCTAGCCATACTCTTATTTTAGTCCAATATTTCATTGCTTCTGCACATGTCCACAACATATAATAAGAACCTGTTGCTTGTTGACATTTCCAACATTTTGCTAACTTGTCTTTTAAACATCTTTGCTAATTTTTCCGGTGACATGTGCCATCTATAAAATATTTTGTATAAGTTTTCTTTGTAAGCTATTGACATGGTTAATTTATAGTTCCTTTCCCATAGTAGTTGCCACTTTTCTAGCTCAATCGTGTAGCCAAAGTTCTTTGCCCAAGTTAACATTGTATGTTTAACCACTTCTTGTCTCGTTCTTAATAGATGGCTATATAGTTTCTTGATTATTCTTTCTTCCCCTCCCATAAGTACCTTATCCAACTCTGAACTCCCCAAGTTAAAACTATACACCCTTTTATCTTTTTCATATCTTGATTGTATTTGCAATTGTGGAAAACAGCCTATATCAATCCCTTGTTCTTCTAATTCCTGTTTTTGTTTTAGTTCCCCCCTTTCTGTTAAGATATTTTTAAATCTAATAATATTTTTCATACTACTAATACTTGGATGTGTCAATGCTTCCATTGTTGAAAGTCACATTGGTATTTCTAAATAATATTTCCCTTTTACTCTTTCCCACATTGTTAATAATCCATTCCTTACACAATGTCTTTGAAAATAGCCATGTGCCTTACTTTTACCATACCACAAAAAAGCATGCCAACCTAGTTACAAACCATGGCCCTCTATTGTTAAAAATCTTGTATTTCTCAATAAGATCCATTCTTTCATCCAGGTTAGTCCCGCTGTTTGATAATACAATTCCCAGTTTGGTAATCCAAATCCACCTCGAGTTCTTGCGTCTTGCAACATTTTTATATTAACTCTTGCTTTTTTTCCCCCTTACCATATGTATTTCCCCACTATTTTATTCATACTTTCAAAGTATTTTTTCTCTAATTTTATTGGTATTGTTTGGAATAGATATAGCAGTCTTGATAATATATTCATTTTTACTACGGCTATTCTTCCCATTAATGATAATTGTAGGTTTTTCCATTTTTCTAGATTTATTTCTATTCATTTTCTCACCTTATAATAGTTATCCTCCTTTAACGTTACACACCTTGATATCAATTAGATACCCAAATATTTTACTTTTTTCACCACCTGTATGTCCAGTTTCCCCATCAACTCTCTTTTCTGTTTTTCTGTTATATTTTTCACCAAAATTTTTGTTTTGTCTTTATTAATCTTCAAACCCGCTACTTCTTTATATTCTTCTATTATTTCAATTAGTTTTGGCCCTATTTCTATTAGATCCTCCATAATAAACACCAAATCATTCACGAATGCTTGTAATTTATATTCTTCTTCCTTTACCCTCATACCTTTTACCTCTTTGTTTTGTCGTATTTCTCTATTAAAAATCTCTAGTGTCAATATAAACAATAATGGTGATAGTGGACATCCTTGTCTAGTTCTCTTCATAATCGCTACCTTTCCTGTCATATCACCATTTACCATTACCTTTGCCAATGGATTATTATATATCATTTTGATCATATTTATAAATCCCTCACCAAATCCCATCATTTGTATTGCATTATCATAAATATTGTCACATTGTCAAAGGCCTTTTGCGTGTCCAGAAATAACAATGCCATTTGCTTCTCTGGGTGGGCTTCATAGTACTCTAGCGTATTCAATACAATTCACATATTGTCTCTGATCTGTCTCTTAGGGAGAAATCCGTTTTGGTCTATGCGTCCATTCATTTAAAAGTCTTTTCATTCTTTCTCCCATTATTGATGCAAAATTTTTATCTGCATTTAATAGTGAAATGGGTGTATAGTTCTTTATTTGTTGCAGATCTGACTCTTCTTTTGGTATAAGAGTTAGATATGCCTCAGTCCATATTTCTGGCATCTTTGCCTCCCGTAATAATTCATTAAATAGTTCAAATATTACATTACTTAATACTTCTTGTAATGTTTGGTACAGTTCTGCCATTCAAGATAGAGTTTTCCAATAGTTCTTTTATTCTTATATTATTCAGACAAAAAGCAATATATTGCTTCACAAGAGTTGTCTTGCACTTCTGCGTCTCGGTCTGGGTTCATTACAGTCTTCTCTTTATATCCAGCTTCATGAATTCATGTATATGGTACATCATACCCCAGTCACATCAGAAACTTCATATTCTTACTCCCTGTTCCATGATTCAATGAAAAAATGCAATCCACCGCATCCCTTGTGCCACTAATGTTCCACTTGGTATCATCAGCAATAATTCAGTCATACACACATCCAAGATCTTGTGTTATCAATGATACACACATTCCAGAAACATGAGTTTTCCAATGGGTTCAATAAAAGGCTAGATATAGTTTTACTATAGGCCCACTATACTCATACCTTGCTCTAACATGCATTATACAGTTTGTCATATATGCAATGCATATATGTGATATGTAACAATAATAACTTCCTTAGCTTACTAGTACTGCCATAGCCAGAACATTAAATGCTGAAATCATTACGACACACATCCTTTGTCTAAGTCAATCTTACACTATGTAAGTTGCATAAAGGCAGTTGCATAATGATTCTAATAATTCTATTGATTTTCATTTGATTTTAAGTTGCATACTATTTATGTAATAGATATTTTCTTTGAATTATAGGAGATTCAGTATTGAAAAATGTTTTCTTGATTATTGATCATTAATGTATTTTGTGTGGTATGTGTAATTTCAGATTTTCTGATATTACCTCTTTTTAAATGAATGTTCAGGAATAACTGAAGTGACTATCTGAATTTCTTAAGTAAAGTTCACAGAAGTATACAACTTTACATATCATGTTTTTTGTTTTATCCACATTAACAGTATTTCATTTTGGTATAAGTTTAAGTTGCAAAACCAGAATAAATTGTGTTCTGCAAATATACCTTTAAACCATATTACATATTTGATATTATAAATATTTTATAAGTACATAAGCTTGTGATGAGATGGGTGGTGCAAACAAATTAAATTAATAAATACTTTTATAAGTACACTTGCAATTCACCATAGTCCAGAGATCTCTAATGTACATGCAAAAGATATTCTTTTGTAGAATATCTATCTTGTAACATTTTCCCTATCTTTTTAAACAACTGATACATACGCTTTAAAAGATTGCGTGGTGCTTAATTCTCTTTCTCATGGAACTGGTGCATGATGGGTTGGATATTAGAGAGCAAAACATTTGAAGAACAGTTGCAGGAATTTGATATGCCTAATCTAGTGAAAAAAGGACTAGGTGTGACATGATAGTAGTGTTCCAATATATGAAGGACTGCCACAAAGAAAAGAGCATCAATCTATTTTCCAAAGCAGCAGATGGCAAGACAAGAGCAACAGGTGGAAATTAATAAAGGAGAGAAGCAATCTAGCACTATGGAGAAATTTCCTGATGTAAGAACAATCAACCAGTGGAATGGCTTGTCTTCAGAAGTTGGGGTTTTGGACTGCCACTTGTCTGAAATGGTGCAGGATCTCCTGCTTGAACAGGAGGTGGAGCAGGGAATCAAATATCACTTCTATCTGTATTTTGTTGGCCATCAGTAAGAAATTTGTAGTGGCTGGTTGCTGATTTGACTCAAATATTTTTTGAATTGGGCCAGTGTAGTACATGGGTCTCTTGTATTTTGTTTGGGTATTGTGGCTGATTCTCTGATCTGTTAATTTATGTTATGCCATTTAAAAATATGTAGGTAGGTATGATAGTAGAAGGAAAGAGATTTTGCTATCTGGAGCTTGATGCAGTTTAACTGATATTTTTGTACTGCTGATATGATTCCACTCAATGTGGCTTTTCCACAACTATGATAGAAAGAAATAATGAGAGTATGATGTGGCAGGCCAGCCACAGAAAGACATCACCAAAATAATTGACAGCATGGTGATCAAAAAGGTGAAGCAGGTCCAAATTAACACAGCTTTCTTTCTCTTGCCCTGTTAAAACATGAGGACAAGAAAGCAAGCCACAAGGACTTAACACTAGTTGCCGGTGTCCTCAATTGACCTATCTAGTCCGTCAGAAGTAAGGATGACTAAGATGAAATTTTGTGAGATTCGTTGCATTAGCGACAACATTGAATAAAGAAGACACTTTCCAGAGGGCTCAATCACAGTCGCTCTGTAATCTTCAGCCGCCTCTAACTTTTCTCGCTTTTCCACAGGCTTAGAAACGCGTGCGCACGCGCACCTGCCCCGCTGCTCTCTACTGGCCGGCGGCCTCCTTCTTTCCTTTCACTTCTTTGCCGGCTTTCTCAGGTAAGGATGCTGAGAAGAGGGCCAACAAAAGAAGGGTGGGATGACCGGGCGGGCTGTTTATTCAAGAGCCCCTGGGGCATTTTGTAGGAAAGTAAAAGATTATCTTTTCTAGCTGCTGCACTTCCTCCCAAACCTTTTGCTTTGCCATTTCGGCGGCGGGAGAGAACAGAGCGAGATCCAGCGCCCACCACGGATGTCCATTATGATGTCGCACGGTCGGCTGGTCGGCCCGCCCCATTGATACCAGGGGTAGCCGGCCTGCTATTATGAAGCCCGGATATGTCCGACTTGTAGGACTGTTTTTCTCCCGCCCTGTTCGATCCGCACCCCACCCAAAAGAAGCCGATCCGCTGAGGAAAAACTGGTGTGCGTGGGATAAAAACCAGGCTGAGAAAGCAACGGGAGGTGTTGACGTGCAGATAGCGCTGGATTACTCAATTCTGTTGCATTAACTGTGACTAATCTTATGTGGTTTCTGGGAAAATGTGTTCTTGTGAGTAAATGTGCATCGTAAAGAAACATATACAGAGACCGTGTATTTCCAGAAACCTGTTCCTTATTTGCATAGTTTATGTAATGTTTGGTGCAACTTTTGGTTTCCATTATTTCCCCATTCAGAGTCTGAGGAAATAGAATGGCTACTAACGATCTGAAGAAAAAGACAGAAGACAAGGAATGTACAAAGTAAGAATTAAACGGAGTTTAGACATTATACCTAAAAAATGAGGAATGGGAGGAAACAATCTCTCTCCCTCCCTCCCTCTCTCTCTTTCTCTCTCTAAATCTACCATCCATCATAGAAATAGGTATTATTTTAAAAATAGGGTTGCAATATATGACAATTACCACTGTGTTTATTATAACAATATTCTTATTTATTGATTTGAATGCAAATTTTTGAGAACTCTAAAATATTCAATTTTCCTCTAATATGTAATAAAATTACTGCTGGACCATAGTTCAATAGGTGGTTGGGCAATTTCCATAAATAAATTTTCTGCAAAAGAATTACATCAAAATGTGACTGAGTTTTTAAAACTTAATCTGTTTAGTGTCACGGCACAGTAAATAAGGAAATTGATCATACAAGGATGTATTGTATTCATGATGATATCAGTGAAATATTTTTTTCAAGAAGAGATAATTTAGACATTATACTAGCCTTGGCTGAATATAGCTATTTTGAGATCACGAATCTATTTAACTGTTTATTGATAGAGATGCCAGAGTTTGTGTCCCTAATCCACACCTTAAGAAAATGAAAGATGACATCTTATATCATTTTGCCCTTGGGACTAGTACTCATGATTTTCCTGCCTTATTTGGAGATGTAAAGGTAAGAAAGAAAATGGTTCTAGACTGTTAAATAAAAGCAATTGTTTTCCCTTTCCATTCTGCATTCAACTACTATGAGTGTCTTTCTTTTTTCTTGTGCTATTATATCAGAAATGGTTTGGGATAAAGTTTAGAGAATCAAAAACCGAATAACCTGGAGCCAGAAAAATAGTGGCAAGGGGAGGAGGCTAGTCGTTCTCAACTATTCATATTTTATGTCCCACCAATCATTCTATCAAAGCAGCAGTCTCACCAAGAGATACCGGGAGAGCGGGGACTTTCTCCAAGAATGTAGAGATTTACAGATACCATGTTTCCATATTCAATACTTTAAAGATTTAATCAGAGACTGGCCCTTTGTCTCAGCCCTATTTCTGTGTTCTTCCTCCCCAACTAATAAGCATGCCACCAGATTAGCAAGGTGAAGACAACATGTGATCATCAATTACAGGTAAACTGGAACTCCTCTTTCCCTCATCAATGCTTATGCTAAGTTAGCCAAAATGATCTTGGAATAATAGACATTACTTAATTTTTAATGGGGTCTTTCACTTTCTTCCTGGAGGCCACTAGCCGCATTGAAAGATGTTTTAAATGATGTGCAAATAAAATGGATCCCTCCTTACACAGAGTACTCAAATTACAACTGGTCACTTGGAGACAGTTTGAAGTTATGATGGATTTGAAATTCCAGTTGCTGCAGCATTCCTGGGATCACATGCAATTCATCCACCCTTATGACTGACCTCAGAGATACTGTACCTATCTTCCCCACATCATATTCCCATTAGCACCTCACAGCCCTTGGGCTGATTCCCACTCTATTGTGTCACTCTCCCTCCTTCCTGTTGTCCATTATCAATCAGAGACTTATCTTTTATTATAGATCTTCTGGGAGCAGTTGCTGCACTGCATAGCCAACATACACAGTGAATATGAATTCAATAAATTACAGCTCCCAAATTTGGTGCCTGCTTAGACCCACGTGGCTTCCATTATGTAGGAAGGCCATGCGGCATAATGGCTGCTTGTGGAAGAAAAATGACTGATCAGTCACCCAAGGACTGCAGCCACCTTAAGAGGTCAGAAGCACAGCAAGGAATGCCTCAGTGGGTTCAGGAGGCCTTGGGAGACCTAGGGCAAGCTATATGTCAACTGGAGTGCTGCTGCTGTATGAGCCTTTGCCTGTTTCTAGACCTCCTAAGGCTTCCCTCACCCAGAGGCACCTTGTACTCTGCTTAATGATCTGTGTGCTTTCTTAATGACTGTAGTGGGGAAAGCAGAGATGGAGACTACTAAGTGAGATAATCACATAGGTGCTTCTCTTAATGACCATTATGACTTGCAACTGTAACGGGCAGGCTCCTTTATGTTCTAAGTCAAGAACCACCTATACAGTAAGCTTCTGCATCTGCCAGTTACTACTTCCAAATACTTCTGTCACATTCTTATTCCTTTCTACTGAAGAATGCTTACATTGAAATACCCGGATAGCCTGCTTTCAATGTATCAATGGGGAAATATAGTAATAATCTCTATCAAAATTCATTATGAATATGCTCAATGGAAAAATAGAATTAGCTACATATATATTGTTTTGCTATGTAGTGTTCTTAGAAAATGAATTAAATCACATCCAATAATAAACCACTGGGATTAACTTCTTCAAGCATTTCTGTGTTTCCTATTTAAAAGATCAGTATTTTAAGCTTCTAGAATCTAAAAGTGACTAAATGGCACTTTAAAAGCTTGAAACATTGGAAGGCATCTCCTAATGGAAAGATCAAGAATTTAGCTTAGGTATAAAAATTTGCAGGATGTTTTGGGACCTATCACACACTCTTAGCCCAACTCACTTCACAAGCTCAACCCAACTCACTTCACAAGCTTAGCCCAACTCACTTCACAAGCTGTTGTGGGGAAATTAGGGGAATTAAGTAATATTAGGAATGCTTGCCACCTTGAGTTATACAATTAATAAAGGCAGGATTTATTTATTTTTTAAATGCATGCTATGGAATTAGAAATTGCTGAATTAAAACAACTCACTGATACATTTACTTTCTATTATGAATGGTTTTTTTATAAAATGTGCTTTATATTTTGACTTTGTTCTTTGATTTTTGATCATATAAAAATAAATGCATAAAATAGAATCAGGTATCTGTAGTAGAGACCTAAGCAATCTAGATTTTGGTTCAATTGTTTAGTCATGAAGAAAAACCTATATAGTTGCCAGAAATAAAAAGCAACAACTTGGTAATACATAATCTATCAAATCAGTCAGTTTTTCAGTTGCTTTTGTCATGCAATAGATATAATTTTACTAGCATTATCTATCAGTAACTGTTTTTTGTAAATTCATTGTCATATCTTTTTTGATTGACTTTAATTTTTCCAAGTGTTGGAATCTTCTCAATTATTCTTATCTTAAATATTCAGAATAATTAGGTTTCAGTTTCAATACCAATCCTTCCAGTGAGCAACCTTCTCAACAATATATTCCAAATATCATTTAAATAAATTAATGTGGCAGTATAGAGCTTTGGTGCAATCAGGCTCAATCTAAATTTAAGTTCCTCTAGATTAGAAATTTTAAAATCTAATTTCTCCTGATGGTGTAGTCAACTGTGAGCAGCATGGCCAAAGATGAAATATAGTAGGTGGTGTTATCTACAAAATCTGGGAAAGACACACACAGGTTGCTACCTAACTTCCCTGTTCTATGTGGATTGAAAACCACACTTTGGAAAACCTATTGACCAAGTACTATATTTTTCTCTGTATAAGACACCCCCATGTATAAGACGCCTCCTTATTTCATGTAGTTTCTTGTAGTAAGAATACTATAAGTCATCACTATTCAGAAGTCATCTTGTTAGAGTGGATAATAAAACAAGAACAGAAAATGCATCACAGGAACAATAGAGATGAAGCCTAGAGTGGTAATGTGATAAAGGAAACAATTACAATAAAGAGGAATGATAGAGCTGCATATAAGATAGCGGCTCCTCTGGCATGTGTAGCCTTCTTCCTGGCCTCCTGTGTATAAGAAACACCTCAATTTTCAAGTAAATATTTTAAAGAAAAAGTAGTGTCATACACAAAAAAATATGGTATGTATCATGGGTGAGTTTCAACCGGTATGGACCGGTACAGCCGTACTGGATGGTGAAATTTAGTGTGCCTTCCCGTACCTGTTGGTCAACAGGCCCCGTATCGGAACACTCTCTTCCCTCCCCTTGTTCATTCTTTCACTTGCCCCGTCCATCCTCACCATGCTGCCGAAAGGTTCTCAGAAGAAGAAACAGAAGAAGAAAAAACTGGTGAGTGGCTGGGGTGGGGGTGGGGAGGATGTTAGGGAAGAGGCAGAGGGCTACTAGAAGAGTGTGTGAGAAGAGTGTGTGCGTGTGCACAGGCTGTGGGTTTTAAAAAGATGCTATAGGAACACATGCTTCCAGCCCCCCTGCCTCTTCCCTCTTCCTGGATTCACTCAGACATTTTTAAAACTCACAGCCTGTGCACAGCATACACTTCCAGCCCCTCTGTCTCTTCCCTCTTCCTGCATTCACTCAGACATTTTTAAAACTCACAGCCTGTGCTCATGCACACACTCTTTCACTTCTTTAAAAACATCTGAGTGAATTCAGGAAGAGGGAAGAGGCAGAGGGGCTGGAAGTGTGTGCTGTGCACAGGCTGTGAGTTTTAAAAATGTCTTGAGTGAATCCCTGAATAAGGGAAATGGGAGAGGGGCTGGAAGAGTGTATGCTGTGCATAGGCTAACTTCGAGTGAATCCGGGAAGAGGCTGAGAGGCTGGAAGTGTGTGTGTATGTGTAAGGTGGTCAGTAATGTTGAAGACCAGCAAGGACAGCCATATTTCCTCTGTAAGTAGCTGTTTTATTGTTTTGTGTACTTATTTTATTCTTATTTAAGTAGTAAGTGCACAAAATAATAAATTTCCTTTTTTTATATCTTCTTTTTGTAGGTCATTCTTTGGGGCAAATAATTCAGTGACATTGACTTGGCCACTCCCACCCAATCACATGACTGCCAAGCTACTCCCACCCAGTCACATGACCACCAAGTCACTCCCACTCAGTCACATGACCACAAAGCCACTCCCACAAAATAGGCCACACCTATAGAATAGGTTCTAAAAAAAATTGAAACCCACCACTGGTATGTATTCTAATCTTACATACAAAATTTTCCTATAATAAACACTTGAAGACATTAATGCTGCATAGTATGGCAACATCTAGAAATAATTTTAGTTCAAGTAGTTTTTGAAACCATCATTTTTAATATGAATGTACATTGAAAGGATAAATTTTTCTAAGAATGTGTTTTATTTATTTAATTCTGCTTAGTTTGTATGTGTTGGAGGAAGTCCTTCACGGATGAAAACCTTTATTACCTACATTGCTGAACTGCTGGATATTGGTAACCCTGGTTATGACTATCCCAATATATGTGCTGGAACAGATCGGTATGCAATGTACAAAGCAGGACCTGTACTGTCAGTCAGTGTAAGTATGGTATAATATATATATATATTAAAAATAAAATGCTGTATTTATGGAAAAATATATGAAAATAAGATACAGAGATCTGTGATTTTAAACATTTTTATTTGGACTAATTAGAATGTTTCATATACATTTCTCTGATTTGAGCTCCGTTATCATTTCAAAGGACTTCAGTAGAATGTTTGTCTTGGTCTTGGGTTTTGTTTTGTTTTGTTTTGTTTTTGTTTTTTTGTTGTTGTTACTTTTATAGTCTTTCTTTTTATCCACAACTGCATTATGGTTACCAATTAAGCAAATGTTTTCACAGTGCAATTCATTTATTTTATTATGTATTTTTCTGTAGAGTTTGTGTGGTTCTGGTTTGGTGCATATATTACTATTAGCAGAGTCTGTTTTTGTGTTATTTCCAAATTGATCATTAAAATCCTATCGTCTTCATTAGCAAAGATTAATTTAGACTTAATTTTAATATATGTTGTGATTTCTCTTTTTTTGTTTGCTAAGGACATGTGTGTGTGTGTGTGTGTGTGTATGTGTGTATGTATGTATGTATGTATGTATGTATGTATGTATGTATGTATGTATGTATGTATGTATGTATGGTTTTTAAGCGTTAAGTATTTCCCCAATTTTAGATTCTCAAGTAGATTAATATGTTCCTTTTTAATGTGTACTTCCTGTAAGCATATTACATCTGTTTTTAATTTCCGGAGTTTAGTAAAAGTCTCTGTTCTTTTCTTTGTTGTATTTAATCCATTAATATTTATTGAGATAATTATCATTTCCTGTTCCATGGTTAGTTGTGTTCCTTCCTATTACTTCTGTTTGTATCTGTTTTTTCCTCTTGTGCCTTCCCTTTGCACTTATTCTCTTTCTTGTTTCTTTTCCTCTTTTCTGGTTCTTTCTTGTTCCTCTGTTGTCTCTTCTTCTTGGCTTCTGCTTTCTACTTCTTCTCTACTTCCTTGTTCTTCTTCCATCACAAAGTATCTTTTGAAAAATTCTTGGGCTTTTTCTATGTTATTAACCTTGCATCAGCTTCTCTTTTTTTACAGTTTCTCAGAGTCCAAAGTTCAAAATTATAATCCACAAGATGGCGCATTTCCATCAATTTCACTATTTAAATGTCTAAAACTAACCAAGTTATCCAAAAGCCACAATTCCAAATATCACCAAGCCAATTTTGTCACCCTATTATATTTTATATAATTATGTAGTTTAGTCCTACAAATTAAGTCCTTTGTACCAATATTTGTTACTTGAGACTGCTACTAAGTTCAGTGTCCATATATTCTCAAAAGGACACTTAATCTGGGTTTCTTAGTATATTCGATTAATATAAACCCTGGGCACAGTCCGACTGTTGCTGTTTGCAGTCACTGTCCACCACTCTCAATGCCAAATATCAAATCAATCCATTTTCTCTTCAATCTTCTATCAGGCTTCCCCTTCGCATTTTACTTTCTCCTACTCACATGCGCTGTCACTTTCCACCATTCGCTTCCGCTCACACCATTCTCGTTTTCTCCAGCCTAGACTATAACAAGTCTTCTCAGAAGAGCTCTCTCTTTCTACTGCACCAATTATCTTTTCTCCTCTTTCCTTGGGTATTTGTCGCTATTGTGTTTCACCAATCTTCTCTGCTTTCTTTAATCTTCGATCTCCACTTATACGGTTGCCATCACTCCAGACCTGTCAAAGTGACAGGCTGTTTCTTTTGTCAGTTTAGTGGGTTTCTCCTATTTGTGGGGTTTTTGCCTTACCTCTACAGTGTCTTCAGAGTATTTCCCTTTCTCCTCTGATCTCTCCGGGACCCATGGTGCTCTCAAACCAAGCCCTGATGAAGAAATTTTGGATTTCAGATATGGGAGCCCCTGTTCCTCAGCCCTGTGGATGATGACATCATCGCCAGAAGTCCGCGACTCATAACACATGAGTCATGAAGACAATATACATTCTATTTGAATCCCTACCAATCTTGGTCTAGAAACTAAACGAATTAGAAGAAATGAATATGTAACAAATTAGAAGAAATTGAAATAGAAACCAACAATTGGGTAGATCATAATCCAATAAAACTAAAATGGAAAGGTCAGAAAAAGAGATGGATGATGAACCAAAATCTGGTAAAAGAGAAAGAATACATTCAAATGTTAGATAAAGAACTAAAATTGTTCTTTAGGGTGAACAAAAAAGAAAAAACATCATTACAAAATCTCTGGGACACCATAAAACGTATATAAGAGGACTCACAATTGCCTACACAGCAAGGAAAAACAAAAAAACAAAAAGTACAACAAATATTATACAGAGGGAACTTAGTGAGGTGGAGTTGGAACTACAGAAAAATCCACAAAACAGGCCAAAAAAAGGGAAAAAATGATAAATCATAAGCACAACCTAATAATCCAGAAAGAATTAGCCCAGAAAATTAAAGCGGCGAAACAAAACTATTTCGAACATGCCAACAAACCGGGACATTGTCTAGCATATAAATTGAAAAAGGAAAGAGAAAAAAGAATGATATACCAGTTACAGGATGAAGATGGAGTCAAACAACATAAATCAGAAAAGAAGAAGAAAATTATACAAAGATACTTTACAAAACTTTATTCCCAGGACAATATCGCAGAAGTTATAATTAAACAATATTTAAATCCAGAAATCATGAATCCAATTTCGGATGAACAGAGAGAAATGATAAATAAGCCAATTATGATATCAGAATTAGAAACTGCTTTGAAGAAACAGAAAAACAACAAAACCCCAGGAACAGATGGAATCCCGATGGAACTATATAAAAACAACCAAATAAGAGAGGGAGGGGCTTGATGTCGCTATGACATGACATGCAATCTTGGGGCTCCAGGATTGCTGTCGATATCTCTGTTGCTGGACAATCTTTTTTGGATCTAAACCATTCTGAAGAAATGGTGATAGTGAAGGGCATGTCCTGCTGATCTCAAGGGCATCACAAAGCCCCTGATTGATCCAGGAAAAAGCTCTTTTTGCCGGCTACAAGAGAAGCAACCAATTGGCTGTAGAAGGTTGGGACAAGCCCCCAAAATGGAAGCAGTACAGGAGAGACAGTGTGCCAAAATGATGAGAAAAATCTTTATTAGAGAAGAAAACCCAGAAGACTCAGAGTTAAAATAAAATTGAAGACAGAACAAAATAAGCGGTGAATTTACCCTGGTTTAAAACTATCATGTTAAAACTAAATGCCTCTTACTTTTAAACTGGACTGGTCTTTTTTCCCCCCCTTCTTCCTCTATACTTTTCTCATTTTTTGTGGTTGTGGATTAAAAGCCTCTTTCCTTGCAAGGCTCAGCCGGATCGTAATCTTTACATTTTTTTTCTCTCTTTCTGGAGAAAAATTCTCTCCAGAGTTCGGAGCTTAGAAAAGAGAAACAATAACAGAGGGATAATATGTAACACTGCCATCTAGTGGCTAGAGACTTGGCAACATCTGATATTACAAAGCTATCGTCTTTGTTTACTAAAAGGGTTAGTGGGAAAAACTTCACTGAATTTATTTGAAACCTAGCAAAAGCCTTGGATGTCTAAGAGGTAATGTTTATATCTTGGAAAAATGGCACAATATGAAGAAGAAAAGAAACTAGCTGCAAAAAATTATGTTAGAAATTTAAAAACTCTTAATAACTACAGAGAGAATTGAAAAGAGTCTTGAATTTATAGATCAAAACACAAAATATCAAAATACAGAAAGTACAGAGGGAAGAGTTGAGAATACTTATAAAAAATGATGAAATTTGAGGACAGAGTTCAAAAAATTACAGAGACGTATGAAAGTGATAAGAAAATTGTTGACATTGACAGCAAATCAAGTGCGGAGGGAAATGATAAGTGTGAAATACGGAAAGGAGAGATTGATGAACTGGAACTCTTATCTCAGATGTCAAAATATAGATGAAGAAAGGGGAGAAAATTTGGCAGAAACAATGAGTGTAATTTCGGCAGAAGCACCATTGATAACAAAAGCCAAGCAGATGAAAGGAACAGATGGAGGGTTTTGAATTCTTATAAAATATCTATTCTGACCCCCCCCCCCCTTCCAGCCTGTGAGTAATGCAGGCTTGGCTATTTGCCACTCTTTAATCACAGGAATTACAACTCCATTGGCTGAAAGCCCAGACAATACTCTCATGCAAGAAGGGTTGCCAGCAACCCAAACAAAACAGAACGGAAATACAAAACAGACCAGATAAGAGTTCCTCAAAACTGTTACGAATGGTTGTGTCCTGCAAAAGGACCCCTCTCAATTTCTCACTTAGATACTCTCTTAGGAGGGGCCAAGCCACAACCACCTGGGCTTGATTATCTCTTATGAGTCTGCCTCCGCAGCTGCTGCTTCCGTTTCTCCGCCCTCCTTTGCCTGGTGTCAGAAACAAACTGTCTTGAGTCCTCCCCACTGCTCCATGTCTCAGGCGTCTCCTGGTGGCCAAAAAGCCTCTCTGGTCCCTGCTCTGAGTCTGAACCCTGCCCAGGGTCCTCCACATCTTCCATAGCAAACACATAGGGTTCCTTGCTATCTGAGTCCATCAGCAGCTCAAACGGATCCTGCTGGGCCACAACAGATATCCAATGAACAAGTTGTCAAGAGAAGTCCATATAAGACTTATCAAGAAAACACTTAGAATAAGATTCTATAAATGGCAAGAGATATTGGACTGCACTATTTCTGGAAGAATACAGGATGATGAAATGAAATGTCACAATAAAATTTAGTTAAATGTAGTTAAACTTTGAGTACTATGTATAACATAAAGTAATAATAGCTATAGTCAAATAAATGATTAATAATGATAATAAAGCATTCATATATACTAGATTGATAATATGAAATTCTATATAAACTGTGAGGACTATGGAGATGATGTTGAAAAGCCTTTTTATAAAAGATAAATAATTCTATATAGAATAGAGTACAAAGATGTAATATCATTGGATGATTTCAGGATGATGTAATGAAATGCCATAATATAAATTTACCTCTAATTTAGTATGCCTCATATAAACAGGATGTAATAATAGCTATGCTTAATGGATATTTAACAATTATAATAATTTGTATAAATGTATCTTAGATTGATGATACTAATAATGAAAAAACATGGAATTGAAAATTATTAGAGAATGTTATTAATGCTAAAATAATAAAATGATTTAGAATAGGATACAAAAAATTATTGGATATATTGAAGATGATATAATGAATCATTATAACACAAATGGATACATATTTAGAATACCTTGTTTAATATGGTGAAACAATAGTGATAACTAAAAAAATGAAGTTTGGATTGCAGACATGTTTTTTAACTAATCAATTGAAATATTGATATGGTTTGAAGGTGAATTATGCTCCAAGAAATAGATAAAAGAAGGTACAGAGATAAAAGAGCTGATTGATGTCTGGGAGAGGCAAATAATGTTTATCCAATGTTGGTTTCAGAAGAACATAGAATAATAGAGTTGGAAGGGACCTAGGAGGCCTTTTGGTTCAACTTCCTGATCAAGCAGGATATCCTATATCAGGGATCCCTAACCCCTGGTCCGTGGACTGACACCAGCCCACAGCATACCAGAAACTGGGCTGCGCAAACACGTGAAGCCTCATCCGCAGTATGCAAACAGCACACAAAACCATACTTCTCCCAGTTCACAGAAAACCCTTTCTCCATGGAACTGGTCCCTGGTGCCCAAAAGGTTGGGGGCCACTGCCCTATATCATGAGAACAGGAAACACAAGGCGTTCCAAGCCAGAGAGTGGCTATGTCCATCAAATCATGTCAAAAGGTTTGTATCTAGCACACATTTCAGGTAAGCCCAAAGCCATTCAGTTTGCAAACCGTTAAGCCAATGCCAGATGAGAAGACCCTGCTGTAGAACATTGGCTACTTAAGAGTGCGTTGTTAAGAGGTTCACGATAAATATATTATTCTTTATTCAGCAAAAATGTTCAGTTTCTATAAGTAATGGAGAATAATCTGTCATACTGTTTTACTCCTCTGTAAATGTGCATACTCATTCATACACAAACAGAACATACGAAATGATAAATAAATATTCATAGTATTCTTTCCCCGCCCCTTTTTAAATTTCAGCATGGAATGGGAATCCCTTCAATTGCCATTATGTTGCATGAACTCATCAAGCTGCTGCATCATGCCAAATGCTGCAATGTAACCATTATCCGTATTGGCACATCTGGTGGAATAGGTATTTCTATTGTTATTTCTTTTAAAGTAAACGTGATTGAGTTTATTATATTTTATTATTATTGATTTATATTATCATCAAATACAAATTATATTTATAATGTAGGTTTGACACCAGGCTCCGTGGTGATCACAAAGCAAGCCGTAGATGCTACCTTCAAGCCACAGTTTGAACAGATTATTTTGGGGAAGTCTGTCATTCGTAGTACATACTTAGATGAAAAATTAAATGAAGACCTTATGGAGTGTGCCAAGGAACTTGATCAGTTCAACACAGTTATTGGAAACACATTGTGCACTCTGGATTTCTATGAAGGTAACGCTAGTTGAATAATATCTTGTACGTAGCAAACAAAATTTCAATATGAATAAGCACATGAAGAAGTAAAACATACTTTTCTTAACATTAAATAAGAAATAAACAAGCATGAAGAAAAATGCATATGTAAACTCAAGATGTAATGGAACAAAAATGCACAAAAAATGGGAAAAGACTTGAAAGGAACCTATCTACTTTGTGGTGGGGTGGAATTTCATCCAAGTGTATTCTAAACCACAAAAGTTGGTTTACCTCATAGTAATATTTTCTTGGTTCTGATCAGGTGATCCTTTTTTAATCTATCTAAACTGATTTGTTATTTTTAATTTTCTACTTTGATGATAGGTAAGATTGGTTGAATTTAAAATGACTTCTCTTCTTAATTGCACGGATGCCACAAATTCAACATTTGAACTATAGGCATGCACCAGGTACCACATTGTGACCTGCACCGAACTAATAATTATTAAGATATCGTAAGATCGTGAGGTCATGATATGAATTACATAGTTTAGTTGTAGAATCCAAACCGCTCAAATCGAACAGTATAACACATTAGAGAAATTTTGTCACCTTTTATTCTTCCATTGCAGATTAAGCACTATTAATTATTGTGACAGCATCTGATTGAGGCAGAAAAAATAGAAAATGCATGAGGGAGGGTGGGAGGGAAGAGGTTTTGTGAATGCAGAGGTCAGCAAGGAGCTCTGTATTCTGTTAATTGGTCTTAAAAGTAGCATAGAAAGAATAAATCCTGGGTTAAAAAACAAATCCAGAGAAAACTAAATATAAAAATCATTCAGGAAAAGGGCAGAAATTGGGACTAATGTGAATGTGTGTACAAAAAAAAATAGATTCCCAGAACTACCAAATATGCTTTGTTTAGGATTTACTGTAGCTTAAAAATTACTAGAATATATAGATATCTGTTCATATCTATTTACACATATATAAATCAACTCTCCAATTTCAATCTTCCTAGCTAAATAATTCCAGATACATTTATTATTTTGATTTGATCTGTTTCCCCTTGCAATTATTTCCCTCTTCTCAAGGTGAATCTTAAGTGGATCTTTAGTTACTTGTTCAGGACCTTATTGCAGAGATGTATATTTTACATCTTTAATGACATGTGTCGTGCATTTGTAGGTCAAGCTCGCCTTGATGGTGCCATCTGCACATATACTGAAGAAGAGAAACTGCAATATTTGAAGGAAGCTCACAAAACTGGAGTAAGAAATATTGAGATGGAATCTTCTGTTTTTGCAGCTATGTGCAATCTTAGTGGCCTCAAAGGTAACTGCATGTACTGTATATAATGTTATTTAATCCACTAGCTTTAATTTTAACATACTGAAGAGTTTTTAATGTAAGTAAGAGTAATAGAATAATACAGTGAGATGGTGGCTCAGTGGCTAGGATGCTGAGCTTGTCGATCAGAAAGATTTGCAGTTCGGCGGTTTGAATCCCTAGCATCACATAATGGAGTTAGCTCCATTACTAGTCCCAACTTCTGCTAACCTAGCAGTTCAAAAGCATGTAAAAATGCAAGTAGAAAAAATAGGGACTACCTTTGGTGGGAAAGTAACAGTGTTTCATGCGCCTTCGGCTTTTAGTCATGTCGGAGACCACGGAGACATCTTCGGACAGCACTGGCACCTCCCCCTAGAGTTGGGAAGAACTAGCACATATGTATGAGGGAAACCTTTATCTTTAATAAGATAAGGGAAGGCAATCTGACTCAGTATTGCTTTCCACCTTCCCATGTTCTGTTACAAGGACGGACCATGACTTATTCTGATCCCTATTATTGTCAACTGATTGTATCTCCCTTAAATGGTTTTTCCCCAATAGGAAGTAATAAAATAAAAATTTAATAAAAACTTAAAAATAAGAAAGAAAATAAATATTTTTCCACAGTAAATGTGAATGATGATTATTATTTTATATATTATTAAATTATTATTTTTCAACAATTTGGGAAGGAAATAACATTGATATTGTTTTGTACATGTTAAGGTGCTGTAGTATGTGTAACATTGCTGAACAGACTTGAAGGCGATCAGATCTCTACACCTCATGATGTTTTGAAGGAATATCAGACAAGACCACAGAAGCTGGTGGGACAGCTGATTAAAAAACATCTTGGGAAAAAGTGACTTTCTGTACTATATATTTCTAGGAACTTTCCTTTTACTTGAATTCTTGTTAAAAATGTTTCATTGGTATCATAACCTACAATCCTATGGACGCTTCTCCTTTAAAAAGAATTGAACTATTTTTGAATTATATGTATGTACTCATGCTTGCATGTACATATACATGTACATACCCTAATTAACAGCAGTTTATTAATTTGTGTGTGTGTATACACACACACATACATACACATGTATATGTGCATGTATATACATACAGTTACATACAGTGATGTGTTCCTAGTGATTTGGTGGCCTGTGTCGCTGGAATAGGCAGCGACTCAGGCCTGCCACACCCCCGAACCAGTTCCTCAGTTGGCGCAACCATCTTGTTTTTCAGTTCTGTGCATGCTCAGAACAATTGCACTGCTCATGTGTGCTTATCACACGCACATAAAGCACGCACATGAACAAACAGGCATTAGTGCCACCTGGAACCTACCCCTGGATACGTTTGTGTATGTGTGTGTGTGTGTGTTCACCCACTCATATACACATTGCTGTTAAGTATATTAAGTATATTAGAAAATGTTTTAATTGACTCTTATTTTTTTCCATGATAAAATCTATTATTAAGAGCCATGGTGGCACAATGGTTAGAATGCAGTACTGCATTATACTTCTGCTAACTACTGGCAGTTCAAATCTCACCGGTTCAAGGTTGACTCAGCCTTCCATCTTTCCAAGGTCAGTAAAATGAGGATCCATATTGTTGAGGGCAATATGCTGACTCTGTAAACTCTTTAGAGAGCACTGTAAAGCACTGTGAAGTGGTATATAAGTCTAAGTGCTATTGTCATTAAAGCAAAGTTCTAATACTACTTAAAATGTATGCCCAAAATATTGTGTAAATTAAGCTTGGAAGCTGACAAGATTTATTAAATCCATGGCAGTCATTAGTCCATTAATGTTTTAATGACTTACAGTCTTAAGACTGTAAACATTTTCATACTTATTTGTGCATGGGATTGCATAAGATTATGCTTTGTAGGCCCTTCCTTTTTTATTTTTCAAGTCCTAAAAATAAGAAATTGATTTCAGATTTTGTTATGGAGTTAAGAGAGGACAAGTGATTGCATTCAAATGGATCTCAACTTTAACTCATTCTAGGATAGACTATATATTGCAGTTTTGAAATGCTGTGCTTTTGCCTTAGACCTATTTGACTGATTTAAGACTAAGTGTCATCTTCTTTCCACCAAATTAGTTTTACCCCATTGTTTTTAGACTAAAAGGAAGGGAAATGCTGTATACTTTGCAATCAATTATCAAAGAAAACTTTGAACATAAATGTTACACTGAAGATATGCATCACAATAACTCTGCAGAAACAGTATTCTGACTGGATAATTATGAAGAATATACTTATGCTTACTCTCTATATAAAACATATAAAAAATCTTCAATGTATAAAATTTATGACAAAAAGGGAAATCTGCAAAGTTGGATCTTTTATAAATTTGAATAATGAATCTCTATTCCTTATGTTTTTGCTAGTCATAGAGAAAAGTGATGAGTAAGAAAATATACATTATAACTCAGAGTGCTCCTAACAAGCATTAACTGGTATGAATCTGATTCAAACATTCCATTTATAAATCAATGTACAATTACTTACTTTAAATATATATATTTTATTTTTTAAAATAAATATGTTACAAAATTAAAAAGTTCCATTTGCATTTGAGGTTACTGCCTGTCTTCAGTTTGATCCTTGGTGTTCAGAGCTTGCTTGTTTTCTTGCAGATGTTTCATTTCCCAAATTAGGTAACATCATCAGTGCTAGTAAGGGTTTGCACTCAGTTTATATTCTAGCAGCTTGCCCTGTTAGTGTTGGTGGTCTTTGAGGTTCTTTGGTTGGGCTGTTTACTCTTGGCTTCTCTGGCAATTTCTTGATTGGGATATTATTTACTTGATTGTTGGTCTAAGACAGTGTTGGCGAACCTTTTCAGCACCAAGTGCACACAGAGCAACACCTCCGGGCACACCAGCCATTGCTCGTTGCTCTTCCGGGTTCCAGCACACACATGCATACCAGCCGGCTGGTCTTGTGCCATAGGTTTGCCATCACAGGTCTAAGGTTAATCTTGGAGTTAATCTATGCTCATTTAGATGCTTTGATGTTTTGTTTCCTTTTTGGCATATTGTTTCCTGCATAGTATATAAATATTGTTTATATCTATGTGTATTGGTGGCCAGGGTGGATTTGATTTAAATCAACTCAATTTAAATCACAATTTTTAAACAGCAACTGTCATCTCTGTCCCGCAGTGGCTCCTCCTCTGACCTGCTGTTTACTCACCGACAGTTCCATTTACTTTAATGGGATGGCTGGTGTTGCGGCAGTGACAAAGTAAGGAATGTGCTGGGCAGCAGTGAGTGAATACCCGTCAGTGACATGCGATGAAGTTTATGGCTGGTGAGGCACTGATGTCATCACAATCAGATTTACAAACATTAAAACCCTACAAATTATCTTAACTAATATTTGATTGGTAGCAATTAAAGGGTTATTTTTGAGGTCTCATATCAGCATTTTTTACACATACTGTAGCACACAAAAAAGGACATTTAATTTAAAAAAATGAAGTTATTATGGGCCTTACCATTATTTATAAATGAAGTCCATTCACCACTCCTTCTGAAGAAAGGCATCTGTGACTTGCTTGTAGAATTTTTCGTTATCTTCTTTTAATTTTAAAAGTCTCTCTGTCTCAATGGTGATCACGGCCAGGGAAGAAAGTCGTCCTTGATTGGTCTTGTTCCGACTGTATGTTTTTAGTCTCTTCAGTGCTGAGAATGACCACTCCACCGATACTGTTGTAGCTGGAACAGTGAGCACAAGCTGGAGCAACTTTGTGGCCTGAGGAACAGTCTGAATGAGATCTTTCTGGGCCAAAAAGCTAAGAAGCTGTGCAGGAGATTTACATGTATCCCTGAGCTGTACAGCTGTGAGCTGTACAGTCCAAC